CGCTGGCCGAGTCAGCGCCCGACCGCCCGGCCCAGCAGACCGGCGGTCCAGTCCAGACCGGTTCAACCCGGTTCAGACCGGTTGGACCGGTTCAGTCTATAATTTCATGTTTTAGTCCCAGTTCTTGATTTCAGTACCATTTTCAGTTAAAATTCTGGGTCCAGTTCAGTTCAGTAAATTAATATCAGTTCAGTTCCGTATTTAACCGATTCCAGTTATATCGATTAAATCCGAATATCATGTTGAGTCTAGTAGAGCATCTTAACATAATTAATCAGTAAATTTATCAGTCTGACCATAGTCCTTAGTAATTGTTTATATTATATTTCAGTTTCATCAGGCATCAGCACTACCTTCATTTTCACGGATCAGGTGGGGACTCAGACTAAGTACTACATTGATTATAATTACGCTACTATGTTTGAGGTATGTATTATCAGTATCCGCTCGGAATGGTCGCCGGTCCATTCTGGGTTCTAGTGGCCCTAATCTGCCCACTAGAGTGTGCACATGGTGTCCGGCATTAGTTTGTGCCGGCAGATGTTCAGTTATCAGTCAGGTGATTTATATCACGAGATAAGTATCAAATTATTCAGTACCGGTATCAGTTATCAGTTCAGTTTCAGTTCAGTTATATATACCAGGATCATGATATTGTTATTATTTTCATTGTTTTACTTTAGTATGAGTTTCTGCGGAGCACAGTGTTTTAGTGCTCACGCCCCCACGTATTTCATGTTTTTCAGGTCACCGAGTCGGGGACGAGGAGTGAGCTGACGAGCTGTTCAGGATATTTGTTGATATGTATGTATATGTTTTGGCTACACTACTATTCCGCAACAGTTTTTAGTACTTTAACTCAGCTTTTGATCTGACGCAAGTCGGTTAATATATTTTATAACCGTTTTTATTATCAGATTAAAATTAACGGTTTTCAGATAAAAGTCAGATTTTCACGGTAACACTCCGAACTAGATTTCGCAAAAATAAATATTTTTATTTTACTTAGAAAATTTGCGAAAAAGCGTACTCTGATTTCAGTAAATAGCGGGGTGTTACAGGGCGGGCCCAAGGGGAACCGGTTGGGTGTTTCTCGGTGGGCGCGGGCATGAACCTTTGGCGAGAGAAAGGCACGGGGTCTTGAGGCCCGGTTCGATGGTCGCGCGATCGATTTATAAATCCCGACTAGGCTCGATTTCTCAGTTTGATCAATAATTAAATTAATAAAAAAATTCGGCTCGATATTAGAATTACGCATTTAAACAATTATGAGCATATAATCAGATAGGAATTAATAATCGAACACGATGGTCAAAGCCCGGTTCAGAAATGCCGGAAAGTGAGGACTAAATTGGCTCTGAGAGGGGGATTTTTACCTATCTCAATAAAGTTGTAAGATCTCATCTGTTGAATAGAAAAAGTCTCTTCCATCCGCGAAGCACTTTGTATAACCGTTTGACCAAGATGTGGCCCTTCATGGCGGGATGCAATATGATGACTCCTCCGCTTGTACGTTGCATGTGCTTTCCTTTTTTTTTTGCTGTTGGATTTCAGGTGAGGAGTAAAATAATTTAGGACAATAAAAATAAATAAGTAATTCCAAAATAATTCGGAACAAATGAGACGCTACAATACTACCCACCTTAAAAGGAATTCCAACATCGGAGTTCGAAAACAAAGAAAACTAACGAACTAGAAGAATACAAAGGTCTCAAAAACGGGAAGCTCGGGAATCTCCCCTAATCTTAGCCTCCTTATGTCAAGTCGTCTCAGACTTGTCATGTCGGCTCCACTGTACCTTCCTAAGGCTCACTGTCCGGTTCCTCAACTGATGGACACTCTGGTCTAAAATGGCCACTGGTACCTCCTATAGGTATGGTCTCGCTCGACCCGCAGTTCGCCGAAGTCTACCATCGAGTTTTGCACATATCTACGTAACATCGAGACATGAAACACATCATGCACCCCTGACAAATTCGTTGGTAAAGCTAGCCGATAAGCCAAGTCACCGACTCGAGCAAGGATCTCAAAGGACTCACCGCAGACGAAATCGAATCCTCATTTACCCCAAACAAAGTATACCATATCTCTAGTCATATGAAAGGGAAAACTCGAATGTTACCATCCAGAGACTCTCTCGATAAAAAAAAAAAAACACAAAACGGTCCACCCATGGTGAGAAAATGCAAAACGAAACACATAACATGCACACACGACCCCAACAGGTCTCATAGTGCCTCGACCGTGAGATCATCGGTCAAAAAATTGTGGTTGACACGTGGAGTTGAGTTTCAGCATGTTGCCCGGGTCACGCCGAAAACTTACCCACAATCTCGACACACCCGTGACTTCTTGCCGAAGCAATTGTCACGATAACAGTGCAACCATGCACGTAGTATAACCCCGCTATACTCATACTTACAACTCACGATTCTACGACACAAACGTAGCCCCTCATGGCTCTGTTGGCAACACAAGTCCCATATCTCTCCATCTCGAGGAATCCTCACATAGGCATAGGAAACCTATCAACCATTCTTCCTTATCAACACTATCGATCAAGGATGCAAACGCGGTTCGGTGGAACTTGGAACTCTCGAAGGTCAAACTGTACAAAAGAAAAATAAAATTTAATGCACTGTCCTCCAAGAGCGACACGCTCGCAGGCGCTACATATGCAGGGTGCCAGGACGCTCACGTGCACATGTTCAGAGACCAGCCGCAAGGTCAAGCTTTGGCTGATCACACTAGCCTGGGGAGTTCTTGCGTTCGGTGATGGTGGCTGCAGCTTTCGTGCAAGTCAATGGTCGGCCCTACAGTTGGCCTAACGTCTCTCAGCACGAGCGTGCCTGCTGAACCACCACTTCGCATGGCTACACCTAGCCATGGTCGGCGATCGGTTCAAAGAATATATCAGAAATTTCAATTTCAAGGTTTCGACAAGAAAATTTAATCTATGTTTTTTCTCAATACGAAAAATTTTCTGACTTGGGTTTTCACATAGGCTAAGGCAATAGCAAGAAAAAGGTTTTCCACAAAATGTGTACAATTGGGGTTTATTCCAAACAAGCTTTTTGGTTTTACACGAGTTCAAAAGTTTCACGGTCTC